GCCCTTGTCCGAGAAGGCTAGGTGTAGATCTTTCCTACCAAAAGATCAGGGGTGTGGCAGAAAGACAGCAGTAAGGAGGAGCAAAGGTGTAACAGTAGTCCAATAGTCAGTAGACCAACCACTTACCTAATGGCAGAATGTGACCAATAGCCAAAAGGGCTACGACTGCCAGTCTCGCCTCACTGGGGTAACTGGTCACTGCTTTATGGATGAGAGTGATGCCCCTTTGCCCAATGAGTTCATGCTTCAGGATTGCTGAAAAGAAAGAAGCAAACCAAAAAAAAGGGGGCATTTATGACAATGTTGAGCAATTTTGTAAATTTCTGGAAACAAGGCCTTCAACACAGCCCAATAATAACAATGTTATAGTCTCCATAACAATAATGTCAATATGATTAATTTCCTACTTTTCAACATTAATGATGATGATGATGATGATGATGATGATGATGATGATGATGATGATGATGATCATGATCATGATGATCATGATCATGATCATGATGATCATGATGATCATGATGATGATGATGATGATGATGCTGGTGGAGGTGGTCTATTGTTGGACTATTCTGTTGGGGTTGCAACTGAAAAGTTGTGGATTCGAAACTCGAAAGGGGCAATACGTCCTTAGGAGATGAACTTTACATGAATTTCCCTCATTTCTCACTAGGGGGAATGGGCACCAGTGATACCTTATCATGTTGTCACAGTGTGAGAGCTTACTTGACTGCTTGCACTGTTTGCTTCCTGAAAAGCTGAGAATGTTTATGAGAAATCCAGAGGCTGGTGGGGTAATAATATAGACTGTGAAGTGCATAGAGCTTATTGTTGAGGGTGATATGTGCAATGCAAATGTTATTTTAGTTTACTTAAGAAAAAGTTTAAAGGTACTTGCAACACAATGAGGTCATATAGGTGCCGAAGATTAGAGGAGTCACAAGAGAGTAACAAACACAAAAAGAAGAAGTGGTAAGGACGATAGACCTTTGATCAGAAAGAAGGAGCAGACCACACCAAAACACCCACTAACACCCACAGGTAGGAAAGAATTAGAGCAAACCAGAGCACCCGCCAACCACCCACCACGTATTATTTGTTACGGTGGTAATGATTATGTTATAAAAGTGGCCGTAGTGACGATGATGGTGTTAATGCTGCTAATGATGATGATGATGATGATGAATATGATGATGATGATGATGATGATGATGATGATGATGATGATGATGATGATGATGATACCTACAGACTCAAAAGACAGACATTCAACATGAATCTACTCACATATTTTCTCCACAATGCATGAGATGGTGCCACAACCCACAATCTGCAGCTCTATATCTCCAGGAAACAGTTCCATAGATCTGAGCACACATTTCAAAGTTGTCTCCGTGATCAGTCTCTTCTTTGTGTCCACGTCTTAAAAGAGAGACAAAAGAAGGTATAATATGAATAAATTAAGAATAAAGAGGCTATGTACCTCATAATCCATTGGGTTTTTTTTATTCTTTCAGGAACAAAATTACTTGGGCGGGGGATGGGGGGAGATGACACAGAAAGGGTCTTCTTTTCTTTAAAAATGTTGTGTTGTTGCCTATGTTTGTCTTTTTCATTTTTCTCATGCTAAGGTGTATAGATTGGTAAAGATAGCTATATGTCCAATTGATATTCTCACACACCAACAACAAACAACGTACAACAACAACAACAAAAACAACAATAAACCCAATAACAACAACAACAACAACAACAACAACAACAACAGCAATAAACATAACAGCAACATAAATCAAGTCTGTCTTCCATCCCTTTCCCCAACCTCTGCCCCAGTAAAAACAAAATAAAAGTAAAATGTAATAGAATGTATCAAGGCACACTTACACAGGGCTACAACTGCTATGACTTTACAGCAACATTGATGTATCTGGCAGTTGTCTGTGAATGTATTCATGGCCACCATGATCACTCCCATCCGGTTTTCTTTCATGAACGTCTCTCGACCAACATCTAGGGAAGCACGTGAGGGTAATGAGGGAAAACAAAAAGGTGCATATTCCATCCAACATCCGTTTTAATATTGTTTTTTTTAGTAGACATTTTACAGCGCTCCCAACAGCATAATAAGGTCCTATGAACGCCAGAAGATTAGAGGTGTTACAAGAGAGAAACATACATAAAAAGAAGGAGGGGAGATAGGGACGATAGATGTTTAATACGAAAGAAGAAGCAAACCACACCAGAGCACCGGCCAACCACTCACTCTGTTTTAGTATGGCAATGCAACACAAATGGGTCATATGAGAACCCGGAGTGGGGGTGAAGGGGGCTGTCAAATAAGGGCAATTGCAAACAATTGGTTGTGAATTTACATCTCTATTTAGAAATTTAGTATCATTTAGTAAGTTCACTGCTTCAGTCCAGCCCATCAGAGCTAACTTGAGCAGAGAGGGGTACAACATTCCAGCAAACAGAGATACTAGTTTGGCTTTTTTTTAGTTTTAGTAAGTTATTTTACGGCATTGCAACTCAATAAGGTCATATAAGTGCCGAAGATTAACAAAGACAAAAAGAAGGAAGGGTGATAAAGACGATAGATGTTTCATAGAAAAGAAGAAGCAAACCACACCAGAGCACCCGCCAACCACCCACTTAGTTAGGCTGTATATTAACTTTCATCACCTGGGAATCGAACTCAGGTTAGTCTGCATGCTGCAGCTAAGCGCCTGTCTGCTATACCACAGACACTGGTTTGTATGAAAGTTATTTAGCTTTTTATGTTTTAGCAGACCGCTGCAATCAAACCCCCTATGTTAAATAATATACGAGTCACCATGGTGAAACCAGTCGATCATCAAAATAATGAAATAAAAGAAATCGACATTTTCCTGCTGATTTGGAAATCTTTATCCATTTTTTATTTTTGGTCGACACCTTTTGTTCTTTTTAAAACACATTTCTACGTGGATTTTGCTGAAAAACTTTGATAAAAGGTACCAAAAATATACATTTTCCGTTTCCAATGACTCTCAAGCTATGGAAGTCATCAAATTTTGGAGGCCATTTTCTCGCCAATTTTATCTCTGAAAACAAGCAATCCCCACCTCTTTCAATTGCAAATATCTTGACTTCTATTCTAGATAACTGGATCGTTTTTTCATTGAAATCAGGACAAATTAACATGATTTAAGATGATGCCAATAACTCTAAATACCTAAAAATTGATGAGCGCTTGATTTCACTTGAAAACTATTGTAGATCCAAAATAAGCCTTGGGGACCATCAACATTTTCTTATTGCTTAAATAAGAATTGCATTCATCATCGATATCGATGGACAGCCGATGAACAAGATATAAATAATGTGTTACGTAACATACCTAGTTAGTTTTAGCAGAGGTTTTTACGGTGCTCGCAACTGTATAAGGTCATGTGAGCGCCAGAAGATTAGAAGTGTGACAATAGAGTAAAAAACACAAAAAAAAACCAAGGAGAGGAGATAAAGAAGATGGATGTGTGAAAGGAAAGAAGAAGCAGACCACACCAGAGCAAACGTCAACCACCCACGTAACATACCTGTCTTCATCATGTTCTCTATGGACTGACAGACATACAAGGTCACGTCTGGGTCATTTTGTATGGAGGCCAGGATGCTCATGAGGGTGTGATCGATGAGACATGCTTCCTCTTCCTTCAGATCTGAGTGTGGGAAAAAAAAACTTTTAGTTTTAGTTAGTGTTTTACGGCACTTGCAACACAATAAGGTCATATAAGTGCCAAAGATTAGAGGTGTTACTAGAGAGTAACAAACACAAGAAAGAAGGAGGGAAGAAAAAGACGAGAGATGTTTGATAGGAAAGGAGAAGCAAACCACACCAGAGCACCCGCCAACCACCCACAAAAGTACTTTTAAAAATAAAAACTACCCCAACAACAAAAGGGACAGCAACGAATAGACACCAGAGGCAACAATTGTAGGGTGGTAAATTGATGCTACCAACAACATTGAAACACGACAACTACATCAATAACAACAGCAATGACAATTATAATATGAACAGCCATAAGAATACTGCAGCATAAATGATAATAATACTGATGCTGTTAAAATCTCTACATCATCATCATCATCATCATCATCATCATCATCATCATCATCATCATCATCA